AAAAAAAAAAAAAGAGAGAGTGGTGAGAAGGACTGGCATTTCCTTCATTAAAAGAATAGTTACTGAATTGCTACTGTTTCCAGACTTTGTTCAAGGTGCAGAGGGTAACCTGTGAACAAAGCAGAAACACCTGTCTTCAGGGACTTTTTATTCTTGTGGAGGGAGACAGGCAATAAACAAGATTTAAAAAAAGTGATAAAATATGGCATGAGAGATGGTGATCATTGCTATGGGGAAACAAAGAGATGAAGGGGGATAGCACCTCAATGGAATGTTTGAATGAACACCCGGAAGAGGTGAGGAAGGGGTAGATCATGCAAAGCTTTACTCAGAGCTCTGGATAATACAAATACAAGGGAAGCCAGTCTTCTCTAGTAGTCTAAAGTGTTTAAAAGTGAATTAAGAGCGTATATACAGCATGTTCTTCTCCAAAATTGTTTCAACACATTTTTCTACTTATTCTCAGAAATCAGCATCTGCTTTTTTGAGAGTGGGCAGAAAGTTCAGCAAGAGATCATGGACATAGCTGTAGTATCCTTTTTTGGAGGTGTGCCATGTGTGGGCATGACGTCCAAATGTGTTATTTCTGCATCTGTGAAACTCTTATAAGACAAACACAGAAGAACAGTGACCGATTCATTGCCATTAAACTCGGTGAAAATGGAACCAACATAGAGCCTAGATGACCAGGAGAAATGGCTCCTAAATATTCAAGAGGTGACAATGGGTAGCAGTGGATATCTGTAACAAAATGTGGAGAAATTCCTGTGTCTGCAGTTAGTTCCGTTGAAGAAAAGATGGCAAAGTTAAAGGAAAGAGAAAGAAAAGAAATTGGAGCAGTGGTGTAGACATAGAAGGTGAGACTCCTGCCCTAAAACTTGATTATTTGTTGTTAAATAATGCAGACCGTGCTTGTGTCTTTCAACAATGTATCTTGGGTCTGTATTAAAATTTTGGATTTCTTAAACAGGTTTTCGGGAGATGTGACTCAGTTTTTGTTTTGAAGTGTTTTCAAACTTGCTATGCTCATATTTCACTTTAGTGAGCTCTCATGTTTACTGAAAATCCATCTAGACCTCTGGTACAAAGATTCCAAGAGGGTTTTTGGAATTAATGGTATGAGAAACAAAATTATGGAGGAAAAGTTTGTTAACATTTGTACAACTAGCTTACAATTTACTCTGAAAATATTTTACAATTAATTATTCATTAACACACAATCATTCATAAGTATACCAATTCATTTATTTTACTTTCAGCTTCACAAGAAAGACATAAATACTACACTGCTAAGAGATAACTTTCAAGAAGGGGTAAAATTATGATTCCAGCAGACATAAAAGTGAACATGTGTTAGAACTTTTATTTAACTTGTGAGCAGGGAACCAGGGAGATGTTATAACAGGTTCAAAGGAGACATCAAAACAGCATACATTCATACAGAATAAAAAATGTTGAAATGAATGTGCAAACAGGGGCAAGACTAACTGCTTTCACAGTGCGGGAGGGAGGCCATTTGAAACTCTAACAGGTAAGACAGAATTTACATGTTCTTAGACAAGAGTTACTTGTCCTGCTATCAGTTACATACAATTTATAAAGTTGTGACATAGCTCAGATAAAATCAGAATCCAATAATCCGGAGGGTGTCATCTAGAGTCCACACAGTGCATAGTTTTCCATTGAAGCACAGATTTTTCCTACATTGCTTGGGAAACCTTATTTTAAAATTTTCAATGTAATATTTATCATGGAAAATTTCGCAGACTGAGACAATAACAGTCAGTATTAATGTACAGCCTGTTGCAGCAATCAGTGCCATTTTGACAATCTTGTCTATCTCTCCCACTTTTTTAATAAGCTGAATTTTTTTTTAAAGATTTTATTTATTTGAGAGAGAGCATGAATGGGGGGAGGGGCAGAGGGAGAGGAAGAAACAGACTCCCTGCTGAACATGGGGCTCGATCCCAGGACTCTGGGATCATGACCACAGCCAAAGGCCAACATTTAACTGACTGAGCCACCCACATGCCCCTAAACTGAAATATTTTAAAGAATACTTTTATAGATCATATTTTGCTGGTAAATAATGTGCATGTTTTCTTTCTTTCTTCCTACATTACTACAATACCATTTTTCACATCAAAAAATTTAGCCAGAGTTCCACAATTAGCATCTTATACCCGGTGCAGAATATTTTCCATTTCCACCTTAGATGTGCAGCCTCCACTCTTCTCTCCCATTTGTGTGACATGAGGCTGACTAATTGATTTCCCCAATATGCTCCTTGCCCTCTGGCTCCCAGTTCAGCTTGGCTGGGGGCACTGACCAGAGATGGGGAGAGTTTGAGGTCAAAGTCTTATTCTCCCTTCCCATGGTGTTGCAGCAAATTGGCTGCACCCATTTATCGAAGGGCGCCCTTTCCTCCCCCTATAGCTACTCCCTCCGAGTTTCCATAACTACCCTAACTCCTTGTCCATTCAGGTCCGTACTGGTTTGCTCGGGCTGCTGTAACAAAGTACCACAACCTGCTGGATGAAATATGAGAAATTTGTTCTCACAGTTCTGGAGGTAGAAATCCAGAATCCCAGCATAGGCAAGATTGGTTGCTTTTTGAGAGTCTCTGAGGGAGAATCTGTTTCATGCTTCTTTCTAGTGTGAGGTCCTTGCGACAGTCTCTGGTATTCCTGCTTTGTAGCTGCATCGCTCCCATGTCTGCCTCCAGAATTACGTGGCCATCTCCCTGACCTCTCTGTTTGCCCCTCAGTGCTTTCTTCTCAGAAGGACACCAGTCATACTGGGTTAGATTCTACCCTAAGCAAGTATGATCTCATCTTAACTTGATTGTATCTACAAAGACTCTATTTCCAAATAAGTTCATATTCTGAGATTCCAGAAGGACAGGGATTTGGGGCAGACACCATTCAACCCGGTACAGAATCTAAGGGTGGTAATGACTTTGTGTTTCCCATCCCCTCACTGTTGTAAACAGTCCCTTTATTAAACTTTCCTAAATTGTCGAATATGAGTATGCCATCTGTTTCTGGCCAGAACCCTGTCTGCCTAACCAGTCTTGCACATTAAGATGATCAAGATCTCTGGGCTACATTATTTAAGAAAGGAGGGGAGTTTGCACGACAGTGGAAGATCGCAATCTCTTGCTGAGTAAAGGGCAAACTGGGTCTGATTATCTTCACTGATAAAAATTGGAGAGCCTGTTTTTAATGTCAATAGCACAATGTTTATTTGTTCCAGTTAAGATACCACATCCAGAAAATTGAGTTTGCAATAACCCGCAGTCATCTTCTAATACTCATTTGGCTTTTGCTAACTGAAGGAGTAAGTTAAATAACCCCAACCTCTGCAGGTACCTAGAGATGTGGTACTGCTTTTGTTTGACCCTCTTGAGGATAGTAGAACAAAGACAGTGGGGGGGGGGGTAGCAAGGTGGTCAGTTTCAAGGGCCTCTATTTGCTTTTCTAGTATAATAGCACTTACTCCATGGGTTGTAAATGATACGGGGATTCCGCTAGATACTAAATATCTTTAACTGCATTATATATTCTGTGAAGTAAGGAAATGACCATAGGATCAGTCTTCTATCTCATCAGATGCACTGTTAAATGGACTTGGGTGAAGACTTCATCTATCACCTGATTTCCATAAGCCCCATTCTGA